CAACGCTTATCTGTGAGAAGCGCATGTAAAGATACTCCTTGAGGTACCATTGTTATACGGCGGATGTGACATGTACTTTCCCGACGAGTGGAGAGTTCACTGAGCTGCAGAAGGAAGCTTATGAATCGGTTCTGGCGGCGGTACATGCAGTGGAGGGGATTCTCAAACCGGGATTGGATTACAGGGATATGCATAGGAAAGCTACGAGAGTTATTGCTGAGTGAGTTGTACCATTAGTGATCGTGATACGATGTAGAGCGTTCGTGCATGGGAAAATTAACCGCGCTGCATTAGGATTGTGTCTCCCAATGTCTGCCCAATTCAGGGAAGCGCTGGGAAATTTTGCCCCGAAAAACACATTGTGATTTCCTTTTGAATATCATGAGTGTCTTTACTCTTTACTGTGTGTATACGGTTTCTCCTGCCAGGGAACTTACCAAGCGTTTGAATCTTTTTACCGCTCCCATCGATAGTGTATGCGAGGAAGCGTTGGTCGCGCGTTATCTAATGCCTCATGGGCTTGGCCATATGTTGGGATTGGATGTACATGATGTTGCCGGGTAAGGGAGAACACTCATGTGTTTATGACTAAGATGTGGATCAGATACGAGCCAGGTCACTTTAAAGATAAGGACGACGTTTCTCTCACGGGGTTGAGGTTGGGGAGGGTCGTTAAGGAGGGTTATGTGCTGACTGTCGAACCTGGATGGTGAGTTTTACACGGGGATCAGGACACGCGTTTGAGCATATTGAGAAATATATTTGTGTTATAACTGTCTCTGTATAGTCCTCTACAGTAGATGGATGCCGACTATACACCACTTGAGGATTCTCAGAAATTAATATACTTCAATTTCGGGTCAGCCACTACACGGTAAATTGCCTCTCTGTAGTCCCTCACCGTGAAGGGATATCGATCATACATTATAGTATCAGTGGAGAAGTTGCCCTTTCTGCCGAATGGAGTATTGACGCTGTGATGCAGTTACTTCAACCCCTATTTGATCGACAAATGGTGCTCGCATCCTGTTCACTCCAAGATGGTCAATGAGACAGTGTTGAGATCGTTGATCCCGGTGGGTGGAATCCGCATCGAAGATGATGTGCTTATCACTCGGGATGGATGCAGGGTTTTGAATGATGTGAGTTGTGCGGGTTTCGGGAATAGAACCTGTGCGGGAAATACACATGAGGGTTATGGCAGATACCTCGCAGCGTGGAGGACATCGAAGCATTTATGCAGGGGAAGATCGAGTGGGTCCCCGGCAAGGGAAAGAGCGAAGTGGCTTAACTCGTAGACGAATAGTTCTGAGTTTCTCTAACGCAGATTCGTGATTTGCGTATAGGGGGAATTCTGGCACGGGAGAGTTGAGGCCCTCAACTCATCCCCCCCACGTTGAGAGGGGCGATTTCTGCTAGGAAGTGCAATGGGCGGCTCGTCAATTCCAGAGACAGGGGAGAGGATTTGTGGCGTATGAAAGTATGTGAATCAGCACGCGGTGTTGCTACAGTATGAAGTTCATACTAAGAATAGTGAACCAAATACTTATGAACTTATTCCATACTTGTGAACCAAATACACATGTTTGTGGGTAATTTTATCCCAATTTCGATTGTAGGGCTATGAAGCACTTGGTGATCGATACACATTGTTTTTTTGATGCCGCTGATTTAAGTTGACTCCTCAACCCTTGGAAAGTCATTCGGAGAGCATGACTCTATATAACGGTTCGAAACATTCTATTGTGCCGACACGACAACACGTATGCGCGCTCGAAGTGCGTTTGTCGCGCGGCAACTTGAGCGCTCGAAATGGAAATTCCGGTTCCTCGCTGAAAGAGTGCGTCTCCCTTTGACCACTTTCGATCGGGTTGAAGGCCGATATTCTTTGCTCCTTCCCATATGCATGTCATTCTTGTTATGGGAATTGTCACTCCCTGCTACTCGGCGTCGTTGGAGCCCATGCGGGACAACATTGTGACGATGCCTATAGAAAACAGCTATGCAACGGTCGAGTTAGACGGTCAACGAGTGGCTCTCCTGGTCGATTCTGGAAGTAGCAAATTACTCGTGAATAGTGGAGAATGGTACGAAGAAATATACGGTAAAGGCGCATGTACAGACTCGAAAGCCGCCTGTTATTTTTGCCCATCACCGGAGCAATGCTATAGCGACACGTCTCGAGTATACCGGAGTAGATTTGCAGATGGCGCTGAGGCTCGTTATGTGATTCACAAAGCCTCACTGACGATTGGAGAACAAACGGCAATTGAGGAGCTCGAATTTGGTATTATAATTGACTTCATTGACCCCGCTGGAGGGAGCAACTCTCGATCGTTAGGGATACTTGGAATAGCACCGGCGTGCAGTCGTAAGCTTTTGAGTAGTTTTATAGAACAACTACGATCTAGTTCAACAATTGCGCGTAGGACTTTCGCGGTTCACGCGAAACGCGGGAGAGGATTCAACGGTGAAGTCACTTTTGGTGCACTTGTGAAAGAGGACGTGAGGACTACATTGAGTCGAATGGCGTACTGCTACAAAAATGGCTGGGGGCGGGTCTCGGTTTGGACTGCTTCTGTCGCCCTCTTGAGAACAGATGGGAATCTTTCGAATGTGTATCGTCCTCTTATGTCGCAACGAGACAGGTCCTACTTGTCATATGTTGATAGCGGTACTATTTCAATTGGCATCCCTAATGCGGCAGATCTCATCGAACGAATTTTGGAAAGTACGAAAAGAGAAATGGGCAAGTTTTCGGAGCAGTATTGGAAGGTCGAAGAGACAGGGGAAAAGTATTTGATTATAGACGAGAGAATGCGAAAGTATTTGCCGACTTTGGCGTTTCGTCTGCAGAACGAAGTAGGTTTTTCTTTGAAAATCGAAGGCCGAGACTACACTGTATGTGGAAGAGGTGGATGTTTTGTGAGAATAAGAGATAGTGGATTGAAAGATCGAATTT